CATCTCATTAGCTCTCTGGACAAATGCTCAGCATGAGGAAACTGGCACAGTTGTTTCATATGATACATTTTAAATTAACATCCCTAGTTTTAGCTACCCACATCATCTTCATTCTCGGTACCTGTCATTTATGTATTGCCAGCCTCTCTGCAGTTCTACTAAGAACCTCTTTGGGGTTCTACTGTAGCAGAAAATGCCTCCAAGCCAGCCTGTTAATTGCGCAGACAACAGTTCCTGTTACAGTTCCTGTTACTACTGTGCCCGAGAGATGGCTGGTCACTGATACACAGCTGGTCACTATGACGCATACTGTAAGAACCAATCAAAGACAGCCAAGTACTCTGCTTCTTGCTTGCAACTCCGTAAAAACCTCCCGCCCTGAGCCTTCAGGGCCTGGCATTTTGAGGGACAACTGATTCCCTGTCTATGTCCGTTTGACATTAAATAAATCTGCCTCCAAATCCTGGGTGTCGTTTCAGTGTTTCTGCTTGCCATTGCAACTAGTGTGTTGTCTGGGAAGACCAACTGTGCTGACCTCTTTGTCACTGGTTGTAGCACTCGCAACCAGAGCAAGGACCTCTCCAGGGCCTGACGGGAAGGTGCACCTTTGAGATTTCTCAAGTCCCCTTGGAGATCTGGAGGAAGATTTCTGGCTTCTCATTCAGGCATCTCACGTTAGACCCCAAAGAGAAGAGGGTGCTGGCTGGCTGGTGGGCTGGCTGCCTGCCTAATTCCAGTAAGACCGTGGGGACACCCCAGTTAGTCTGTTAGTCCTGCTCAGCTTGAGCAGAAGGGGAGTCTGACCAACTCTCATTAGTCAGGACCACCCTGGAGGGAAGCGGGTTGGAATGTCTAACCTGAGTGCCGAATGGATGTGTGAGTTAAACCGACAGTATAAACAGGCTGCTCCATCTGTGCCCCAAGACTGGGAAGCACTGGTTGTGGTGGCTGACTGGGCCCTCTCCTGTGGTTCCATGGCAGCTGACATATGGCATGACAGAGGCCCTGCACCCTCCTTAGCTAAGCTGTGCTAAGTCAACACGAGGGATGCAGCCAGGCAGGCATCTGAATGGTCTCTCTCTTACTGCAAATGACTCATCTACTTATTTCCACTTTTGCTCTTTTACCTTATCAAGGTAGGTGTTTGATTTACCATCTTAAACCAGAAGTTCTAAACTACCTTTTAGAGGTGAAAATATGAAGACCCACGAACTCTTTGAGAGTAGGTGTCAAAGTCACAGGAACAGTGCCTGTAAAAGTCAGAGCTGGACTTAGAACTTAGGTCCCCAGGTCACAGCCACTCTATGCCTTTTACGATGTATCTTCCTTATCACAGAACTTCTGGTGGCTTTGTTTTGTTTGGTTTTGTTTTTTGGTACTGCGTATTGAACTCAGACCTTGCGCTTGCCAGGCAGGCACTGTATCACTGAGCTATATCTCTGGCCTTATCACAGAACTTTTGTTGGAACTTCATTTACATTAATATAGCGAAAAAAAAAAATTTAGGAATAGACCAATGTTCATGCTTGTAGAAAACTGGAGGGAAAAAGCAGTAAAAGCTATACCAATTATTTCATATTAAGGTAGGAATCATTACTTCTAAGTTCTGCCAGACCTAATATTAAACACTTTTTTAAAAAAGTCAAACATTTCATAGAACTGTGTCATAAAATCTTTCCTATTTTGGTTGAACTTGAGACTTTAGAAGGAGAAATAAAGTATATACGCATTTCCCCACTAAATCTTACAATTAATATTACCATATAACTTAGTCGATTTTTATGAATATTTTAAAATGATAAACATTTAAAAACTTATTTTCTAATAAATTTTACTAACATCTAGTGGAAAAACTAAAAATAAATCAGTGACAACTGTAAAAACTATTCAAAACTAGGGGTCAGGGTTTGGGCTTGTAGCCCACTGGTATAGCCTTTGCCTAGCATACATGTGGCCCTAGGTTCCATCCCCAGAACTAAGAAAAAAAATGTAAAAAGAAAAAACGTGGAGGTCAGAATATTTTATTCTGGTTCCAGTTCTTCTTAATTCTCTCCAAGTCCCTGGCCTGATATGCACTTTGGCTTTTGAGCCCCTGTCCCTACATCTTCACAATGTTCTAATATAAGACTAAACAATTTTATAAACCATACACTACTGCTAGTATGTTTCTCAAAAATATAAAAAAAATACACATACCCCTGAATTACTTTCCTAATGTCACTGGAGTAAATTACGACAAATTATTGGTTGTAAACAACATGCATTTATTATCCTACAGTTCTAGGGGTCAGGAGTACAAGAGTGTCTCACAGGACTAAAATCAAGGCGTCTAAGTTGTGGTCCCTTGGGAGGCTCCAGAGGAGAATCGACTCTCTTGCTTTTTCCAGCTTCTAGCAGCTCCATCTGTTCTTTGGCCCCTGGCCCCACATCAGTCCAAGCTCCACTTGTTACTACGTTTCCTTCTCTGACTACCACCTTCCTGTCCCCTCTTTCAATGACACTGGACCCACTGCTAATCCTGGCTAATCCTCACCTCCGGATGGCTCATCTAACTCACAGAGCTCCTTCTGCTCTGCAAAGGAACATGTGCACAGGGTCCAGGGCTGGGCTGTGGACATCATCAGGGGAAAGGGCCATTATTTAGCCTTAACACATTCCCAAGGGTCACTGATTCACTGACAGATGACTGTAATGTACATTAATGATAAAAGGAAGTTTCAGAGAATCAAACAATGGTAAATAACAATACTGTAATAAGCAGTGTGATAGAAAATCCAAATCCTGTTGTCAAGATAGTAGCTAACCTATTGTTGAGTTTATTTTAGCAAAAGTAAGTTGATTTTTATTTTTATACAGTGATGTGTCATGACCACACTGTTTCCCAATCCTACTTTGTGCCTTAAACCTGGTAAAGGATGAATACAAAAAAGAAAGATGCACAAAGGAAGCCAAAATCACTTCTAAGGTTTTTACTTTTCCAAATTAGCACATAAGACAGGAAGAAACCAAAACAGCAAGTATTAGTTACAGCTGTAGTTAAAATTGCTTGAAGAAAACTGTTGTCCTATGGGTATAAATACAACTAATTGGAATTTTCAAATAGGTACTTAATTCATATTTACTACTGCTAACATTCTAGACATAAGTGAGGTCAGAATCCTAGTTATATCAAAAAGTATTAGTGGTTCAGAGTCATCAACACATTTTACCTCAGTATAATAAGGCCCAAAAAACCAACAGAGGGGTTTTGGTCCTGGGCCAACCCCTAAAACTCTATGAGATGGAAAAATCAATGAGCCTTCCTAGAACTTCACTGCACCATTCACACACTCAGAGTCATAGCACAGCTTGTAGTAACTAGACAATATACACCATTTACCTTACTACTGACTTTCAAAGACAAGTGAACGGCAAGCCAGTTGGCATAAGTGAAACCCGTATTTTAAATGGCTGCTTATCTACAGCCATAAAATAAACTCTCTCAAAACCTCCCTCTCTGTCTTCCTCCTTTCTACCTCCCTTCCTCAATTATCTGTGTCAAATTACCATGTACTTCCAAATAAGAGATGGATTATAAATCAAAAGAATGTTTTATGGTTCATAACTTTTAATTAACATTAAAATTTCCCAATCTGAACCATCAACTGACTTCAAAACTTCTCTTAGCATAATACATTTAAGTACAGATTGAGTATCCCTAATCCAAATATTCAAAATCTGCAGTGCTCTTAAACCTAAAACTTTTGCAGTATTGAGATCATGCTCAAACAGTTTTAGATTTTGGAGCATTTCAGATTTTACATTTTTGGAATGCTCAACTGGTAATAAAATCTATGCAAATATTCTAAAATCTAAAAAAAAACCCAGAAATCAGAAATAAGCAGATGTGCCTAAGCATTTCAGGTAAGGGATACTCAGCTTGTACCAATATAATACTCAGATGTTAAGATCACCATTATTTTAGATAGGAGCTGGGCATTCCTTCCAAACAGCCTCTTCTTCCTGGCTAGTCTCCTTCAGACGCTCTGGACTCAATCCTCTTAGCTCGCAGGGCTGTCAACCACCCGGGCCCAAGCGAACATGTCTCTACAACACAGGGTCAGTTCAAACATTCGCCAAGCTCAGCCTCTCCACTACATGAAAACATAAACTCCTCTACTAGAACACTCAAAGGAGGTCTTTATCTTCAGTCCCCTCTGCCTATGTCTGTAAACATTAGATGCTTAGCATCATCAGGTTTTTTGAGAAGCAAAGACAATCTTGGTTTTATTGAAAAAAAATAGAAAGGAAAAATGTTTTGCCCAGAAAAATAAGGGATAAAAATTTGGGAAGTGTCGACAACTGTAGTCTAGAAAACACGTGAAGAACTTTACCTTTAGCTGGCCAGCGATGTTGCAGCAGCTGACTGTCTTACCATGCAAGAGACTAAGGTTCAGGGTCAGACTAACGGTTCTGACGTCCTGGGCTGGACACATAGTTGAAGAGAGACACCAAGGAAGGCAGCCAGCCCAACCCCTCACACAGCATCCCTTCCTGGTTAATCCATGGTGTGACAATGATACTGACTGGCCTCCTCCTGCCAATGAATGGCAAGGCACTGCAATGATGGCGCCTAGAAATGAACAGGAGTGATTGGGAATAAAAGGGGGAGGGGGAAAGGTGGCCATGATGAAGAAATGAATAAAACTCCAAACTTCTGTTACACCTCACTGTTATTCCTACTATGCTGATAACATAATGATAGCAGCAATGGGAAAAAAAGGAAAAAAGAAACCAAAAGAAAAATTGCTAACCTATTTAAATTTATGCAGCTTTCTGAGAATTTGGGTTTCTGAGAATCCTACAACCTGATTACATGTAACTACAGTAAGAGGTTGATTCAATTTAGCTCATAAACCTATAACAACATTTTTATCATTAGTGTTTCTAAACTCTGATTTGGTTTTACTCTTTATTGCAGCAAAAACTCAACCCACAGTATTAAAACAGATCACACTTACCAAACAATTCCTTGGGCTCCAGAGCCAATTGGTTTCAACTGCTGGTAACGTTTTAGGACAGTGAAAGTTGAGTCTGCCACTTGCACACTGTAAAACTGACTATCACATTTACTGTCGCTCATGATGTAGTGTCATACAATATCCCAAAGAGCTGGCACCGTTGACAAGATTCCTTAAAAGAGAAACAGAATGAACATGCGTACTTATAGAAATATCCATGCACAGCTCACAAATTTATTGCGCTATAAGACAATGCAGCTCAAGTTCATAAACTTGGTTTGACAAAGTTCTGAACTTAAGCGAGACATTAAAGTGCAAAGACATTTCAGTAGTACAAGACTATCATGAGGTCCATAATAGTCTCACTATTATGAATTTTGAGGCCCAGCAAGATCACATTAAGGGAAAAAAAACATTTTCGGAGAAAAGAATTTACACATCATTACTAGCCATGCCACTAAATATTTCTCACAGTGCTTCCTATGGGACCACCTTAAGTCTAGCAATCTCAACCAGAGCTAGGGACGTTATTTCAGAATGACTGCCTCTACAATTCTTGAAGAAAAGCAAATAGACCAGTTTCCTGCTAAGTGCATAGATTCAGATTAAAGTGGTGAACCAGAAAGCTACATTCATATGCCAGAGTGACAGGCTGTGAGGGCTGGCGACCTTGGTGTGTGCTCTGCATACCACCGGCAGGCCCGTTTCGTGAGGGTGGGTGTGGAGGATTGCATGCCCCTTGCACCCCACAAACTCTGCTGTGTCCCCACAGTACAAAAATACACACTACAGAGTTTATTTATGTATGTACGAGTATAAGCTGGTAGCCACGGAAAATAGTTTTTCTGTGCTCTAGACAGCAGGCTGAGATTTCCACTCTGCAGAACCCTGGGTGAATTTATACAGAAACAAGCAAACAGGGGCTGGGGATTTAGCTCAGCGGCAAAAGCGCCTGCCTGGCAAGCGCAAGGTCGTGAGTTCGGTTCCTGGTACCGGAGAAAAACCAAAAACCAAAA